TCATTACTATTAATAAACCCTAAGCCGTAACAAAGGGCTCCAAATGTGGCCTCTGCAATGCACACCAAAAGTACAAACAGGGACACCATCCATGCGCAACATGGCACTGTTAGTACTCTGATATTTTTCAGCTGTTGATGGAATCAGCCTCTCTGAGAGCTACCACAGAGTTCGGGAAACCTGACTACCAGCCGGCCTCAGAACCATAAAACTGAGTTTTAGAGCTGTACCCTCATTAGGAGATAATAGAATGAGTTGCCCAGTCATAAAAATAAAGACACAAGCAATACCCACGCATTGAGTCAAGAAGATCCAGCGTTCAACATCCTAAACTGGAAACAATGTATTAAAAATACATCTGCGCCAGCCTAATAGATGAGGAAGGGGTGCGAGGCTGGTCAACAGATAGAATCTGTTTACCCCTTAAGTCTTTGCCTAGGAGGCCTTCTACAAGACAGCAGCTGGATGCATGTAACATCTGCCCAAGATGAGTATTTTTATCGAGACACCATCTCTAGCCTTTACTCAACCAAGAGCCCCAAGGCAGGGGGTGTTTTAATTCGGAGTTAACTTCTCCTAGCCTTTGCCTAAAAAAGCGTATCCTACAAGGCAGCAGGACATGGAGCAGGTTGTACTGGGTTACATGTTACCAGTAGCAGGAAAACCTGACCTGACCTCAATTTTCACGACAACCTGAACTTAAAGCATGGTTTAGCTTAAGACGATTAAACGACTGCCTTTTTTATTAGGTCGCCGTGACATCACTACTTTAAAGTATAAAAGTAGAAATTTAAACAGATTAATTGGATGACTGTTAAAAGATGTTTAGATGTTAGATGACTTAAAAACGTCTTTTGAACGTTTAAAAAAGGGCCAAACCTTTCAAAAGACGTTTAAAACTTTTAAAAGACGTTTAAGAACGTCTTTTTACGTCCTGTGCCGCTGGTTCATTGGCCAGACACTTTCTACAATTCTAATCCTTAGCCAGACAAGCGTATATTTTAGCAATATTGTTAGTTTTGTTATAAGTAAAAAGGTTAGAGCAAAAACCTGAGTTACATAGCTTAACTAAAAATAATTACAGCTTGATTGTGTTAAAAAAGGTATTGGTTTCTATTAGCATTTATTTAATAACTGGAGTTTACGATAGATAAAAATTGTAATAAAAATAAATTTAAAAGGTGGTTTAAATAGCTTTAAGCTATATTGTCGGTTTCAAACCACAGACCTCCATTTTAAAACGAGAACTTTAACCACTACACCACGACTACTTTTATTGTTGTGGCATTGCCTATTGCAGTAAATTGTGTAAACAAATCAGGTTGATAATGTGAAAAAAGTAAGTATGAAAAAACTTTTTTGGCACAGACAAAAATTCTAAAAATCTAATTATGAAACTTAGCCAAATTATTTTATAAGTAATTTGATGAAACTGTGAAAATTTACAGAATAAACACCTAACGTTAGCATTAATATACTTTGATTGATTTCAGGTTCATATGAAAAAATACGCTATGGGTTATATTGGGACAGCGTTGTTGTCGATTTTGCCCAGAATTCAGGAAAGAAGCGAAAATCTTCTTGGCCGAGTTAACCAAGTTCGAAACTCAGTTCATATTACTCGGATGAATAGAAAATTTCTGGTTCATGCAAAATACGGGGATGGGTCTCACTTTGTTTTACCTCAAGTTGAGGACAAATCACTGTTCAGCTATTTTCAAATAATAAGAAGTACGAACCAACCAAATCTTAAATGTAGAAATGTTTTTAAATTCAATGTAGACTCTAGGGAACGATTGTATTTCCAATTTTATTTATTTTATTTCGTCTGAAAAAGAAAAGAATACAATGCCGTATTGTATAAATAATATCTACATGACTGGAGCTAAAAGAAGACAATATCGGCCTTATCACTACGCCCCAAATATATATGATATTTATTATATATATTTATTATAAATAAATGATTGCATTTGAAAATGCAATCATTTATTATACATATTTGGGGCGTAGAAATGTCTAAGACAACTAAGCATGATATCATTTAGCACATCAAGCCAACAGGTGCTATCAATTTAATTTGTATGACGATTTTTATTGTTAATTTGTCTTAATTGTTGTCCTAATCATACTGAATTGAAGTTCTGAGCATCAAAATCTGTAATTTTGATGTTTTGATGTTGTAAGTTTTGATGCAGAGGTGATTTTACAAATAAAATGAGGGGGGGGCGAATCCTCAAAAAGTACTGATTAGCTCCTTAAAAAAAAAAAAAAAGGTCCTCAAAACAAAAATTGAACCGACTGAATTATGTCAAATAGCCGACTGCCGACTAAATTCGTGACAAAAACCGATTATAACTTGAAAATCCCTCCATCCCCCCTCACACGCACCTGTAAAATCGCCTCTGGTTCTGAGCATCAAAAACTCAAAACTGTTGTAATAAAAACTAAGTAACCTTAAGTTTGTTGAAATATGTTAATGAAAATTTTGTCCAACTAATAATTTTTATTGATTAAAGCAGAGTTGTTAGTCCTTGGCCTTGGGCTTGAAACTCCTGACCTTGGCCTTGGCCTTGAAATTTTTTGGCCTTGAATTTTTTTTTTAACTTTCTGTGAGTTGATTTATGCGTGTTTTTTTTAACATTGATTTTTAAAAGAAAAAACTTGTCTTGAACTATTAATCTTTAAAATTTTTATTTTAGGGTCTTCTTTACACAGAATTGGCAAAGCTTTGCTCAAAAACTATACAAGAAACTTCTTTTAAAAATATTGAAAATAGTGTTACGCTTCAGATTAAGCAGCCGTGGCGCAGTGGTAGCGCACTTGCCTCAGTCAACTACTCATGATATCATTCAGCACTTTAAGTCAACAGGTGGTATTAATCTACGAAATTCCTTTAATAGACTAAAAGTTGCCACTTCAAAAAATATATATGTATAATAAGCCGTCTGACTGTGAAGAACGTAACGATTTCAAGCCTACAAGTTCTTACTCGGCCGTCACTCGTCACTCGTCTTCTAATGTAAATGTTAGTGCCCGCATAAATCGATGACGCTTTGTCAAGAACTTTAATTTTATTGTTAACCTGATCGTACCGTGCAGAATTAAAGCCACGCTTTTTTCAAAAAAATATTTGTGACCGCGTCAAATTTTGAAAAGAACTCAAGAATTGGACTGTGAAAATGTGGCAACGTCTTGCTCTCAGACGAAGTGCAAGTTAAGCAGTTTGCAGTACACAAAATCAATGTTCGCCCGCCACCAAACTCATGCTTCAATCCTTGATAAGTAGCATCTTCTGTTAAGCAATTCCCAGCAAATATGATTTTGATGTGCAATCACTATTTGATCTAATCCGAGTATTTTGAGTCTCTTGTTGCCTCAATGCCGCAAAGAGTAGAAGAGGCTGTTCTAAACGATTTAGAAGTCCATACAAAGTACTGAAACATGTTTTTTTACCGTGGCTTCTTTATTCTTTTATGGTCATGTATGGTGTATGATGTATGGTGCTTTTTGAATTGAATAGAACTTTTTCTAATCAAAAACCACCTTAAAACAGAACTAATGTATAAAATATAATACAAAGAAAAAAAATTTACGAGCATATTTGCTTGATAAATTAAAACTTTTAAAATAGCAATCAGCGATATCAGAAATAGTATTTTGAATAAAAGGCTAATTGAATCGTATGATCTTGAACCAAAAACAAGGAGATGAATACACCTATTTAAAATAAAAATAAAGTTTAAATTTTCTATCATACAAGTAAAATAGAAATAAACAAACGTTTACATGGCTCATTCAAGTTTCATTCGAAATATAGTTTTGTTCGCATGTTTTTTTGTTCTTGTTTTTTTTTAAAAAAGAAGTCCTATTTTTCAATGTTAACCTTATTTAATTAGCTTATCAATTTTTTGTTATGTTATGTACTATTGTTTATACATAAACAAATTTTTTTTTATTGAACTATTTCACAATAAATAGATTAATCTTGATTTCCTATCGCGTAATGCGTAAAATACATCACCATCGTTGTTTTTTTTTAAATTGTAAGATTATCTTGATAAAGTTTCAAAAAAAGTAATAATAAAATAAATAAATAAATAATAATAAAAAAAAAAAATCTGCTGTCTTAACTTTTACTTATGACGTTAGTTTACGTAACTTATATAATACTAATAATAGTAATTATAATAACAACAACAATAAAAATAATATATTTATATATATACAAACATAGATATCATAGGTCCGGGAGGAGAAGAGGGGTCATTATTGAAAAAAAAAGGCAGTTTAGATTTGCAAATAAAAATTTTGCTCCATTTTTGTAAGAAAACATGCATGAAACATACGAATTTGATTAAAAAAAAAAAAAGAAATATGCCACTTTTTGAGTAAAAATGTGTAAAGCTGTATTTTCTAATTAGGTTAGCATTGTCCTTTTCAAAAAAAATGTGGGAAGATACCCTGTATTTTCTGTTATACGTGTGTTTTAAACTGCATTTAAAATGCATGAATACTTCTTCATATTCTATATAGTTTCTTTAAATTTAAGCAGCTCCTAATATATATATATATATATATATATATATATATATATATATATATATATATATATATATATATATATATATATATATATATATATATATATATTTGACTAATATTTGAATTATATTTTTTGATTTAATCTTTGATTTTAATTGAATTCATTGTTTACATTTCAGTTAATTTTTCGAGGGATTATTACTCCAGGGATGTTTCACTACAAAGAAAGAAAGAAAAAATAATGCCAGATTTTTACTGCTTTGATACGGAGCAAAAGTATCAAAAACCGTCGACATTATAGTTTCCATTACATGTTTATAATATAATTGGTTATACATTTACAATATACATCTTAAATGCATCCAAATCCATTCCATTTATTTCCAATATCTCGGAATCAAAAAGCATATCGCCGATTAGTTCATCACAATGCACGGTCGGCGTTAAATGAAAAAAAAACTATTTAATAATAAGGCTAGCGTATAAATAATCTTCTCCTGCGATAATGAAAAAAGTTTTTCTGTATTGGAAAATGTAATAAAAATATCTTGAAATTTATATTTTTCCTCTGAGAAGAAGCGGCAACAAAGTTTACTGAAAATCAGGAAAATTTACAAAAACAGATTTGAGAAGTAGTTACTAAGAGCTCTCAAACATGGCGGACTTGGAGGCTGTATTGGCCGATGTTTCCTATTTAATGGCCATGGAGAAATCCAAATCTACACCTGCAGCTCGAGCTAGTAAAAGAATACAACTGCCTGATGCTTCGTTAGTGATTTTTCAAATTATATTGCTATCATTAGTTTTGCTTAAATCCAAGTTAATATAAGATTACTATTATATATTGTTACTTAGCTCATGTAAATTTATTCTCAGATAAAGTAAGCTTCTACGGTCGATTCCTTTTTTTTAAATTAGATATCAGTATAGAAAATATATCAGTAGTTTTCGTAGTATTCCATTGTTTAGTTTTACAGCACGATGATTTTTGTTGTTGTTGTATTCCAATAGCATTTTATTCAAATATGCAAGAAAAATTTAGTTATTATTATTTTTTTAATTGTGTACATCAGGTTATGCTAGGTTGTTATAATTTTAGAAATATAGTGATAACTAAGAAATAAGTAGTAGCTGCATGATTTATATTTACAAAATAATTTTTGTTCTCATTTTACAGATGGTTGGTAAGTTCTAGTTTTCATCTCTTCCTCCTTTTTTTATGAAAAATCATGGTTATTTTTAAACTAATTACATAAAAAAACAACATTTAATTAGAATAGTGATAATAAATTTTATAAATTTTTTTCTCCTGTGAAATGTTGATCGTGATATCATATTTTAATAGTGATAGACAAGTGTTTCATTATTGATTAAAGGTTAAGTTAAAGGCACACTAAATATATATGAAGGAGATCTTGCTGCAAAATAAAATTTCTTCATTTCTATTATTTTCAAAAATGATTTTGGAACTGGTTAAAAAAATAAATGTCTAGAAAAATATAGTACTTTATAGACTTGCATGTAATGTCATTCATGATTTCATAATGAGTTGCATGTAATGTCATTCATGATTTCATAAATCAAGAGGTTATGTTAATAGGTTAAATTTTCTAATAAAAGTAACAGTAAGTTAGGCAAGCAGGATCTATACAATAACAATGCAAAGCTAATACCCTCCAGGGGTTGCCACAAATTTGCAAGGTGATGAAGTTTTATAAAAAAAATATTATAAGCAGGTCAAAAGGTCAGCTTCTAACTTTGTTTTCCTTGATAACTATTGTCCATAAATTACACAACGCTTAATTTAACTAACACACAAAATAAAAAGGATCTTAAGTTTTCCCTCACAGAGTCTTTAATAAAACCAAAAAAAAACAACACTTTAAATCCACTGAAAATTGCAGCGCAAAAGAGCAAATGATCTCCTACTTCTATTTTTTAAATAAGTTTAGTGTTGTGTAATTTATGGACGATCCTATAGCTAAGATCTATTTTGAAATAGTTTGCGAAGTAATTTAGCTCTCTTAAATTTCTTTTTTTTTTAATCAGAGTTGCATGAACATTAGGAGTTAGTTATTAAAAAATTAATGCTAAATATATTTTTATAATGTTAAATGTATTAAAGCCAGTAAATCAAAATTTTTAAAGCTATAGTTTTTGCATCAAGCTTTAAAGACAATTTTAAACAAGTGGACATTAAGACTCAATTAATTGACTCAAGAGTCAATTAATTTGCAATATTGTCAATATAATGTTGGATTTTTTGATATAATAAGTTACAATATTTTATTATTTTTTATTAAGTTTTAATATTGTATTTTACTCCTAATGGGTAGAGATAGAGAATGAATCAGAAGTAAGAAAGTGGCAAGCATGATGGGTTGCTATTTATCAATATAGAAATGCTAAACTATTTTTTTTAACTACAGTTAGAAAGAAATGATTTAATCTCAATCAGTTAACTTCTTCCTCATTCTACTGATGTAGCTTAAGTTACATCAATAGAATGAGGAGATTGAAATCTATATTGGCTATTGGCTTAGTTTTGATCCCAAGTCATAAAAGAGTTTAATTCAGAAATGGTTTTAGCAACAGAAGCTGGGGTGAGTTGGCTGTCTAAAAATTGGTTAACTTGTTTATCTGGGATGGGAGGAAGTGTATGACAATTAGATTCAAGGGTCAAATTATAGGAAAAGTCTTTTGCAAGTACTTCTGCCCTATCCTTGGGAGATCATGGCATTGTTATTGACAGTGTTGAAAATTTTTTACAAGTCTCTAGAACCTAACTTCTGAGATAAGATAAAGGGTTTAATAAACTGAGAATAATGGATCTCAGCACCTTTATACATTGGTTTCTTGAAATAATAAAAAAACTTTTTTTCAATGTAAATGGTACATGTAATTATATGTTACCATCACTGCGATCTATACTGAAGGCCTTGCCATCGCGCAAACAGTTTAGTTGACTGGGGGCCTATTTTATTTTAACGGCAAAAACAAAACAAAAAAGTGTTCAGTAATTTTATATTAACTCAATGAACTTTTTACTCTCAAACTGTTTCATTTTATAACAAACAAACTAAAATTCAAACAAAATATTTCTTAACTTATAAATTTTTCTCAAATTCAAAAACAAAAAAACTCAAATTCAAAAACAAAAACCATATATATATATATATATATATATATATATATATATATATATATATATATATATATATATATATATATATATATATATATATATATATATATATACATATATATATATATATATATATATATATATAAATGTATATATATATATATATATATATATATATATATATATATATATATATATATTCCTAAAGATCCAGTAGTAGTGTAGTAGCGAAACTCAGAGTTGAAGAAAAAAGATAGACAAATATTTTTAATAATTAATTATTGCTCTGTTCTCTATATACATCTATATTCTATATATATATATATATATATGTGTGTGTGTGTGTATATATATATATATATATATATATATATATATATATATATATATATATATATATATATATATATATATACTTACACACTTAAATAACTATATACATAAAATTACAATTAAAAATTTGTGATAAGAATACAATAATATTTTAAGAATTCATGACAATTTTAATATTTTTTGAGCTGGCTCTTTATTTGAACGAGGAGTTGAAAGTTTACATAAATTGTTTAAAAAAATGTTTAAAAGAATATTTCTGTGATGTCGATGCATCTCAAAGTTGTAAAACTCTGATATCATCATTAGAATATTGCTCAATGAAACTCTGCATACTTTATCTTTAATCGTATTAAAAATTATAAAAGAAAAAATTACCCATTGACAGGTATTATCTGTGGGAATATTAAGTCCACCACGGTCAATTGAGTCTATGTATTGTCCAAACTTTTGGTGGTAGAAAGTTGTTTTTTCTAGCAGCTCATTTTCTGATAGTTCATTATCTTTACGAGTTAAATATCCTGATATGTATATAAGTGCCATATTTGTATCAGAAGAAATAAAAGATTCAAGATTTGGCAGGTTGTCAAATATCTCAGCAGAAGACTCATCCAATAAAAAACCACAATTTGGACAAGAATGGGTTGTATCAAGACATATGTCAACAGCTGGGTTATTAAGAGATAGTAAAAGCTTGGCTCTTGAAATATTCAGTTTTTCAATTACCTGCTGTACTGTTATAAAATATGTACCTCCGGTATGTCGCAATTTGCTAAACTCTTTTTCCAATGGATCAGTAGAAAACTCACTAAGAATAACATATTGGTGTGAGCTAATCAATAATGAACGACATAATTCAACAACACCATTGCACGTATGGTAAATTGATTGTGCAGTGTCACAAGTAAGTTGTTTCTTCCTTTTACCTTGCTTTCCAGCCATCTTTAAAGCCATATTTCCGAAATCTAAAATATTTTCTAATCTATTATCATTAGGATCTCTAATAACTGCTTAAAGTTCATCATTAAACCTAACATCTGCACCTGTTCCTTTAACATTAAGAACTTTCCACCATGATACAACAATGTTAATAAAATCTGCTGTGTCTTGTCTTTCTTTTATATGCTGCAGTCCTGGATGATTAATCGAAGCATGGTAAGTTTTGTCACAAAATATCCTTAAACAGGTAGACACTGACTGCCTCTCGATTGGCTTCGGAAATATTGAAACTTCGTTTAATTTAGACAATTTAACTAAGTTTTTAGATTCAAGTTCATAAGGTTTTTCAGGTGATCCCATTGTGCTACTTTTTGTACCCCTTTATCATAAAATATAAGTTGACCAGTTTTTTCAGTAAGCCAATTATGTCAAAGTTCTTACAGAAGGAATTGGTAATCTGTTTGCAATTGATTATACAAACTTCTGGATGTAGCAAAATACTGAAAAGATCTAATAATAATTTCTTTAGAATAAATCTTATTTCCAACACACTGTGTACCCATAGAAGCTAAATGTTCTTGAATTACAATTTCTTTTCTTCCAGGAATCAAACTCTTTAAATAACGTAGGACTTCTTCTAATATTGACCATGCATTAATTTTTGAAACTCTAATTTTAGAAATTGTAAGAATTTTAATTTTGACTCCATAGTGATAAGTTTCAAAATGTAAATCGCCTCTAATCTTGATTAAAAAAAATGGAACCCATTTGAATAAGCTTGTGATTGCAAATGAATAATGCTATTAATCATAAAACATACTGATGGGACACCCAAATCTAATTCATTATACAAAAGAATTTCTTTCATTTCAGCAAAAGTTACTCTATCTTTTTTAAAAAAGGCTGATAATTCATCTTGAGCAAAATTTTGAATACATGAAGAGGCACTATTTGTTGAACGTAATGGAGGAGGTTGAGTGGGAATTTGACAAGACGCCTGGCCAAACAGATGGTGGAAATTTAGGACGAAATTTTCCTCTAACTTGTTGTTTTTCAAAATTTATTGGCCAATGCAACTCACAAACATTTGGAATTACTTTAATCCACATTTGTTTTTCATCTTCATTTTTAGGAAATCGATATACTGAGATCTTTAAATTATCAGATTTCTTTTTAGCCAATAAATAATTTGTGGTACAGCCATAAATACAACACTTTTTACCCATATTTCAATATCACTAAAATGGCGATTATAGTTAAGTACAGTTTAAAATAGACCTCCAGTGAAATACGTTTTTTGCGCGTTGGCAAGGCCTGCAGTATAGATCGCCGTGGTTACCATGTAATTACATGTACCATTGATTACATGTTATTGTGGGTAGATTACACGTTACCAAGGGTGATTATGATGATCCTGAACCTGACTTTACCCAAGCTAGTTAAAATAAGTTACTTCAGTAAGCAGTACTTTAAAACATTGAACTGGAGGTTTAAGTAATAGTTTTTAGAAAAACATATTTAAACGAATAATAGAAATTAAGGTGAACCTATGTTATATTGTTGTATATCATTAGTTGGTAACTGAGCTAACACTAGACCAGGGCATAAATCAGAACAAAAAAAAGGACACAAAACAAAACACAAGCATTTATATAAAGCTAACACCGTGCCAGAAGTTCACACATAAAACAAACATACAAATAGTAACTTATGGGTAAGTGAACACCTTGCTAGAGGTTCAGATGGAACACAAACTTATTGATAGCAACTTGCTATCAACTTACTATGGTTGAGCTAGCCCAATAACCAAGATACCCTCTCACTATAGACATGACAGGTATAACACATTATTGATAACAGGTGACAGGTATTAGATAGTATTAATAATAATTTAATTAGGAATGTCTCTTTACCAATCCTGCAAATATGATCAGACCTTGCGTAGAACCTTTGACCTTTTGATTCTGAAGCAAACTCTCTAACTACTGTGCCATGACTGCTCTAGTTCATAGTAGCAACATTTCCTCTTAGCTTGCATATTAGTAACTATCTTAGCTACATAGACACTTTCTCAGACAAAATACTTTTTCATTTGTTCCAGATTTAGAAATAAAGATTTTTCAAAAATTTCTTTAAATTCTTTATCTTTTTCAACTAGTGAAATATCATAACTTTTTTAGTTTGAAATTGGAATTTTTAAAGATATTAGCTAAATAAAAGTTTTTTAGTTTTTACTATCATTTTATTTTTTGTTCTACATTTTATTTTTTTGCTGTTGATAATATTAGTATTTTTTCAAATAGTCTAATGTCTCAAGCTTTTTCTGATTAATTTTTTTTTTTAGTTTTACTAGTGAGAATTTAAGTATTTAAATTAAGCTTGGTGTAAATCTGATCCTATCATCCTATATTTTTTTTACTTTATCTCTTCAAATAAACATTCAGCTCTAATATCATTCATAGAGTGCTCTTGCTGAAGATAAGCATACAGAAAAAAAAAGATTTAATTGTGTGTGTGTGTTTAGATGTCTTTAACATCACATTATGTAAATATATGTAAGGAATAATATATGTACGGAAGCCCCTTGTTGCTTGGGACTTTAGTACATATATCTAATATCTTAATGTGCATATATATATATGTGTGTGTGTGTGTTTCACTCCTCACATGTTTTACCTATTTCAGTCGATGAATGTTCACTCCGCCGCATCAATTCCTAAACAAACTAGTCAATACAACAAAAATAAATGAAAAATAAAATAAAATAATTAAATCATAGTATTAAAAAAAACACTGTAAAAGATTAAAAAATTAAAAACAAACGCATTCTGTATTAAAAGTTAAGTTTACATTTTTGTGGTAATTTAAAAAATGTTAAATTTTATATGCATTTTTAATTAATTTAAATGGTTTTGACTTTAAAACAACACAAAAATGTTGGATGAAATTAAGAGTGATGTTTCATGAAAAATCATTTTTTACCTTCTATACTTTCGTCAAAAATTTTTACGACTATATATATATGTGTGTGTGTGTGTGTGTTTGTGTGTGTGTGTATACAGTCCTCTTAGCAAATTATTGTCTTAATCTGTATGAGGTTGTCATTAGGTCGGCAGAAAAAATGTAAAACAAAGGTTTGACCATAAAACATAGTAAAGAGGTCAGAGATTTTTTGCCGACCTCTAACACTTCTAGGTTGGTTGTATATATATATATATATATATATATATATATATATATATATATATATATATATATATATATATATATATATATATATATATATATATATATATATATATATATATATATTGTCTTTAGTGTCTACAGTGTGATGCATAAATATCTAACAGCTAGAGATGAAGTTAATTTTTCTACTATATTTAATCAAAAAATAGGTGCGTTTTAATTGTAATATTCAAATTTCAAGTAATTTCAAAGGATCTTTAATTTTATGATTTGCTTTTATTTTAGGGTTTATGTTGTTCAAAGAGTTTTGTCTTGAACAATGTGAAGAACCAGTTCCTCAAATCAATTTTTATGAAGCGGTAATAATTTATATTTTTAATTTTATACAATTTATTAAAAAAAAAAAAAAAGATTTAACCACATACAATTTTATAAAAAGTTAATGCTGAATCTTCTTGAATTTACTCATAGATATTTGTTGTTTTCTTCTATCTCCTAGTGAGGGTAAAGACTTTAAAAGTGCCATGTTGTGCATCTATGGTGTCCTGTTAGTTATTTTGGTTTGCAATGGCAAGACCACATAAGGAGTTACGACTTTTGGCGAATTAACAGGACTGAAGCAACTGCATAGCTCATTACTTGGGGGTGCCATGCCCTATCTATGATTAAGTCAAATTTTCTTTAATCATGACCAAAGCATTCAAAAATATGAAACATAAATAAACCATGTCCACCACCTAACCCAGCCCTCAGATTTAAGGTTCGCAATCGGCAATCCTGACCTAACTGCCTATCTTAAAGTGTTTGAGGACAGCAACCTCGTTTCTTTAATGTTTTATGTTAAGTTTTTATGTTGTATCTTTTTTTTTTGCTGACCTGATGCTGAATTGTAAAAGCTAATGGTTTCCATATATCTTTTACAATTACACGTGACCTTTAAAGTAACTTTCCATCAGTTGAATCTTACCACTTTCAAAATTCAGCAGACTTGCTCTTTGTAAGTCTGATTTCTTCAGATCTCTATATTGATGGTTATTATCCTTTGATTCGTAAAAACTCCAATAATCAAATGCTTGGGCGCATACTTACACATCAATTCACTGATTTGTTTAGAAATTAGGTTTTAAATCTTCTGACCATTCATATGTTTTCGATTAGCATCTCTTTACTTAATCTCATTTCTCTTTGTTCTTCTCCTTCTCCTAGAGTCTTCACTCTTTTAAATGTAATTTCTGATCAAATTAACCAAGCCATTTCTCTTTAACCATCAGCCAATATTGTTGCTATTGGTAACTTTAATGCTCATTAAACTGCATGGCTTGACTCTAACACCACTGACTTTGCAGGCACGAAAGCTCATAACTTCTGTATTTTCAATCTCTATTTCAGATAATTAAATTTGTAAGTCATTTTCCTGAAAACCATACTTACCTTCATTTCTTGATTTTGTATCATGTCTCTGATTCTAGCTTATGTTTAGTTTTTCCTCGTTCTTCTTTAGGTGGTTTCAACCATGCAGTGATCTCTATAAATTTTTCATCTTGTACTTCTTCAGACTTGCCCTGCATCATCACACTAGTTACTACTACCCTAAAGCTGACTAGGATTCTTTTTGTGATTTTCTTTGTGACATTTCTTGAGCTGTTGTCATTTGTCTTCCATACCTCTATCAAGGATGGTAGTGGTATTAGGGCATCCAATACCGGACCAAAAATTGAATACCGGTTTTTTGGTATTAGATTAAGTGAAAACCGAAATACCGGTATTAAAACCGGTATTTACTATTACTAAAAAAACATTTAATAAAACCTAAAGCAACAGTTAAACGGTTTTAAAACTTTATTGTTTAAGTTAAAATAATAGATATAATTAAATAATTTCAAGCAAAAAACATAAAATAGTTATTTATTACTAAAATAGGCCCGCAAAAATAAAAAATTATTTAAGGTTTAGTCATTTAAAGATGATTGTATTTTTGTACATAAAATTCCTGATGAAGAGAAAGCCCGTTCAGCTTCTACGCTAGTTGGGGTAATAGTTAAAATATAATCATATACTAACATCAAGTTAGTACCACGTGTACCGTCTTCCTTAAATATAGAAACTTCTTTTTGCACCATTTTAGTCAAATCGTTAATACTTTGCTTTGTTTTTGGTACTGTTTTCATTTTTATCTCATTATTTATGGCCATATCTAGCTGCTCCTGTAATGTCAAGCTCAAAGGTTCGCTGAATAAGATGCACAATTAAATTAACCAAAGCAGTTTTAGTTAGCCGATCAAATATGATATCTGAACTAAAATTATTATGGGCTTGATCACCTTTATGAAGATATTGTATGAGATAAAATAAATTTGTGCGTCTTTCTTTTATTCTTATAATCAAGGAAGTTTTCATATTTTAACTTAATGGTCCTACGCCCAAATTTTGCAGTATGAATGCCAGGGTAGTATCAGCTGATAGTAGGTTAGTATCTCTCCGACATAAAGCCTCTACAGCCAATTTCACTGGTAACAACATAGAAACTGTTAATAATATCAATTCTAATTCAGATTCCATAAAATTATTAGCTGAGTTTAAGTCAATCAGGGCTTTTTGAATAGAATTTTTTAGTTTATAAAAACATTCTACCATAAAAAGTAAGCTGTTCTATCTGGTCTTATTATCTAATATTAATGACAGTTCATTACCATGTTCAGTTTTTACATAAACTTGAAGGATTTTATTTTTGGTTGGCGATCGCCTGAACAGCTTTACAACTTTTCTAACTTTGCTTATCAATGGAGCTAAATTATTTGCAAGTTCATTTGAAATTGGCGAGTTCTGAAAAATCCTTAGTCCGTCTAAATGCTCTTCATTATTGTCATCGGAAATCTCACCCGCACTATCTTCATCAGATTCAATATAATCATCGGTCAATTCTACAGTTGTTGTTTTATGCAAGACGTCAACCACAGCCAATTGGATTCCATGGATTAGACAAAGTTGCTGGTCAACGGGCATTAATCGCCTACTTTCTTCATAACGGAAGCACCATCTGTAGTAATACATACAATATCGCGATCAATATTTAGGTTGTGTTCTTTCAGTATGTTGTTAATTAACTTAACACACATTTCTGCTGGGAAGTGTCCATTAACTCTCGCTAAATCCAAATTCCAAAATCTATATTGAGTATGAACGGTAATGTTCAAATAACGTCTATTTTTTTACCGAAGTCTACTCGTCAAGCGTAAGACTAAACCGATTTTCTTGCTGTTGAAGTTCAGATAATTCTTTTATTATTGAGTTTCGAATTTTAGTAGCATACTTCATAACTATTTGATACAGATACAGATTTCTCTGTGTCAAAACACGCACAAAGTCTCATCGATGAGAAATACCGGTATATACAGGTATTGAGAGTTCGGTAAAAAATGTCTGGTATACCGGGATACCGGTTTTCGGTATACCGGTATTGGATGCCCTAAGTGTTATGGAAAGGGAAATGGATGGTAGGGAAGGAGGTATGGAGGCTTTTTAGCTTTTAGAGACTTGGAAACTCTTCAACAGTGTCATTAACAATGATTAGTTGAACATTGCCTTTATAATTCATGGGTTTGATCTTATTACCTCTCCTAAGCATGAGGCAGAACTATTTGCAAAGAACTTTTTCTCTAATTCGACCTTTAAATCCAATCACAACACTCTTTCTACCATTCCAGCCAAATCACTGCTGCTTCTGTTGCTAAAACCATTTCTGAATTAAACTCAATTACGTCTTGTGGTCCAGACAACATTCCTGTCTTAGTCTTACAATAGTGTTCTCTTTAATTTTTTTAAAACTCTTTAATAAATGTATGACTTATTCTGATTCTAATGCCTGCTGGAAAATGGCAACTGTGGTTTCATTTTTTAAAAACTCTAGAGAACACTCTGACCTCTCATACTATCATTCATTCAGTCTTCTATCTATTATAAACAAGGTCTTTGAGCTTTTAATCAACACATTTCTAACATTTCTTGTCTTGAGTCTAATAAAAATCAGTATTGTTTTCAATCTTCTTGTTCTAAGGCTGACTTGCTAACTGCTGTAACTGAAAGTTTTCATTGTGCATTAGATGGATGTAGTAAGACTAGGGCTATTGGATAGATGTAGATGGATGTAGAAAGACGAGGGCTATTGAATAGATGTAGATGGATGTAGAAAGACGAGGGCTATTGCTCTTGTGGTGGTGTGACCATTGCTCTTGACATATCTAAAGCTTTCAATAAAGTTTGGCATGCTGGTCTTCTGGAGAAGTTTTCGAGATATCAAATTACTTCTTTCTAACCGCAGTATTACAGTCATCCTTGTACTTTATTATTTCTTATGTTCATTAATGATCTTCCTGACAATCAGACAAACATCTAAAGTGGCTCTATTTGCTGACTATTCAACTGTATACTCCTGTCTTGAGAAAACGTCTTTTTTTTTCAAATGCTTAGAGCAGGTAGTTCACTCAGAACACTCACAACCAAGCTGCTAAAAATAAAAATTACAACTAAACGGAATGTCTGATTTAAGGAGATGTAGTTCAAAGTTGTCAGTGCAACTTAAATCAATCTTTATTTTAAAAACCTTTTTTTTTTTATTGTATTTTTCAGAAAGTTTAGAAAAAACAGGTTTTGTTTACAATTCGAAAAGATCTAACTAAATATAAAAAAATCAACCTGATGTATCACGCGTGCAGTACTTTTACGATGCCTGTGCAGCACAATTTTAAAACTTTATTAATTTTTGTAACAATAAAGACTTTGATTTGAATGCGGAATAGGTATTTTTGTTACCAGCCATGGTAGCAGCCATGCTACCAGCCAAGGTAAATCTCTTTTTAAAAAGTAAGAGAAAGTAACATAGATTTATCATCATTTTATGAAAAAGTGGTATTTAGTTATTCAAAAAAAAAAAAAAAAAAAAAAAAAAGAAAAGCTGTTGATACAATTACTGATGTATTTATTAATCCAAAAAGCCAAATTTAAAAGTAGATTTTATTAAATATTGAAAAATGGATTCTATTGCATTTGCTTTTATGGATATTGGTGTGTTGGTATTATTAATTTTTTCAATTTTTATTTATCTCCCTGAGGCTGAGGAGATAATTAAAGTTGATGAGGCTACTCAGTTGTTATTTATTTTTTTATTTGTTGTAACAACTCTCTCTCCATGCTTTAACTACAAGAAAAAAACCTTGACAAACTGTTGTACAGAGAAACAAATTGAGCATTCTACTACCAGAGATGTGGTTTATAAAGTGTATGCATTGTTCTAAAATCATAAAGATGTTGCCTATCATTATGATGGATTTTAGTGGGTAGGGATTACCAAATATGTAAGTGAACTTGATATTGAAGTCATGTTCATGCATCCCCATGACCCAGTTAAAAATTTATTTTGGCCAAAGATAGATGATGGTGCTGGGTGCTTAATTCCAAAGTTATATGCCCAATTTCTGCATCCACATCAATATCAGGTTCTATATGCAATGTATCTGATTGAGTTTTAAATAACATAAGCAGTTAGTTCTCTGTTTTAGTTTCAAAAATCAATAAATTAATAGATGAATTTTTTGAATAAAACTGAATTAACACAGGATCTCTTGAGGCAATTAAGTCCTTAGAAAACTGTTTCTGAATTTTAAATTTTCAAATTTTTGGAAGATCCCTTGAGCCATTATAAATACATAATATTTTTAAGTTGGTTGTCTCTTCAGATTATCATTAAAAATCTCCTTCCAACATGTGTTAAAATAACATATTGATTTTCCTCAATAATCACTATTCAATGTTTTTTTTATTTTTGTAATAAGTATTGAATACACAACACATTTTCATAGTCAAAGTTATTTAAAGAACAATTCACAAGATCATTTTCTAAAACTTTAAAAAAGTTCCAAAGAAATGAAATTCTAAAAGTTAAAATATTTTTTTCTTATCAGTAGAAATTTTTATATGCTTTTAGATAAAAGAATACGAAGATTTACAGACTCCAGAGGAAAGGTTGGTGGCTGCTAGAGAAATATTTGATAACTATATTATGAAAGAATTATTATCTTGTTCACATGTAAGAATTTTGTATTAGTTATTTAAAAATAATGAAATTTTAAGTTTTAAAGAAATCTGTAAACCATTTTACCTGATGATGTGTTTCTATATTATATATGAATTAACTTAGTCATTTACAATGTCAGCAATTGAGCATGTTCGTTTGTTGTTAATGAAAGGTGAAGTACCTGTTGGACTTTTTCTTGTAAGTTTTTTTAATTAAAATTTTGAACCTAATTTACGTGTTTATTTTGTTTAAGTATATAGAAAATATGTGAAGGGAGCAAGAGAAAAACCTGAGATACTCCTGAAATCAGTTTTGTAATTATAATTTTTGATCTTATTGTCAAAATAATGTTTAGTATGCTGAAAAAGAAGTAGATAGAATTTGAGTTATTTAAATTAAATGAAAATTTGATAAATTAGAAAATTTTATCCCACTATGTATGCATCATTATATGCATACATTAAAATTGTCTTAAAAATAACAAGTTAAGACTCGATGTAAATAACAAGTTAGGATTCTATGACAAGTCTGTTGTCAATAAGTTTAAACAAAAATAAAAATAATCATAGTAACCATAGCAATCATTCTTGTCAAATCATTTAAGTTCATATAGCTTTAATGACAAAAATAAAAGTACATTTTAATTTAAAGTAGCTTTTTAATTTTATGATGATAGAAATGTTACTTGTACATACAGTGACAAATCAGAGTTTATTTTAGGATATCTCTTTTTTTGGCAACATAGGGGTAGGGAATGTTTCTGTTTCTCCCCCCTCCCCTCCCAGTTAAAACCGATGCTGTGACTATGATTTTAAAGTATCACTTTGTGTTCATCTTGTTTAGTTTTAATCAAAGATAAAAAGTTGATTTAAAATCTTTTTGTAAAAGACATTTCTTTGAATACATTACTTAGCAGTTGACATACTTTTAGTTCTTCTAAGAAAAATTTTTATTTAATACTTTATTAAACTTTTCAGTTGCAAATTCTATTTATACCCTATTTATAAATATTTAGTGAAAATATAAAGTATTTTAAGATTAAATATTTAGTAACTATATTAAAGTAATTTTAAATTTAGTGTTTATTAAATGTTTAAAGTAGTTTTAATCAATGTTTACAAATAGCGTAGTCTTATAGCAAAATTAAGATAAAATTAATTACGCTTATTAAACACTTATGTCTTGTAGTCAAATAGTTATTGTCTGTATACAATATAATATATTTATTCACATTTAACGAACATTATTCACCTCCCCAAGGCCCGAGGGGGCCACTACAGTCGAGGAGGCTACTCATTTTTTTGTGTTTTTTATTTTTTTGTTGTATTTCGTGGTACAACCCTCTCTCAACTCTTTAACTCCCAAAAACGAACCTTGACAAGCAAGGCCGCTGCGCGGAGAAACTAAGTTGAGCGGGGTACTTCCAGGGACATGGTGGGAGTGGAACTCCGAACCTCTCGCTTACAAAGCGAGCGCTCTTACCACTACACCACTGCCGCATTAGTTTTTATTTCAATTTAAATATTGGCGATTCTGTTCATTTAACTTTTACTAAAGGTTAATAATTTTCACAGTGCTTTTAGACGCTATTTAAATAAAAAAGATAATTATGGTAAACTTAATTATTAAAAAAACAAATAGTTGAAAAAATTGTGTACTTTAATTGAGTTGCATTTACTAAAGATTTATTTAAACATTAAAGAAATTGAAGTTTAAAAATAATTAAAACCCAATAAAACTTTTATTAAGTTATTTTTATTATTATTAAAAGAATTCGAAAATACAAAAACAATATGAAGAGAAACAAAACTTTTTGTTTCGTTTTTTCTTTTACTTAAAGTAAAATAAAATAGTGAGCTAAAGATCAAAAGTTCTTCCATTCAAAAATTAAATTTTGCAATTACTACGTTGTTTAGACTGAAATCTTTACTTATGTTCATTCACTATTAAAAACAGTTAACTCTTTATTGCAAACAAGCAAAACTTAACATTACTCTAAATGAATATTTTAAAATCACTCCTTTTTTTCAAAAAAACAAATTTTTGATATTTCACATTCCATTGTCTTTAACCTTAGTTTCGTAAAAATTTTCAATACATTTTTTAAATCTAACATTCGGTTAGTAATTAAACGACAGTTTTAAACTTGCTGCTTTATAATTTTAAAACAAATTATTGCATGTAATTACTTTTTTATAAACTTTATTGTCCTGAAGAAAAAATGAACTCTAAAATATGCTAAAATAAACAGAAATTTAGTTATCTACCTCTGGAATTAAAGCTGCAACTTTTTTTCCTATTTTTACAACATTTTATCTAGCTTGTTTTCTTGTTGGTTTGTTTAGTCAAAGTCCTTGGGTCCCATGAAATAGTTTATTTTAAAAATGTTGTTTTTAAAAAGTTATATATATATATATATATATATATATATATATATATATATATATATATATATATATATATATATATATATATATATATTTAATAAAAAAGAAGAACAAAATAATTTTTTTTTTTGTGGCGCCTATACCTTTCCATTGGTACTAAAACAGGTCTAAGTTCGTCCCTGAGAAATGAAGTTTTAAAAGACTTGATCATCAATAAAAGTTAAGAAACATAGCAACATAATTCAATACATTTAAAAACAGCACTATCTTTTGTCAAGGTATATATATATGTATATATATATATATATATATATATATATATATATATATATATATATATATATATATATATATATATATATATATATATATATATATATATATGTATATATATATATATATATATATATAAGTGATTTTCTACTAATTTCTGTAATTGCTTTGTTCTTTTAAGAACATTGAGCACTCTTTTTGTAGAATACATTTTAAATTGTTTAAATATATGTATATATATATATATATATATATACATATATATATACATATATATATATACATATACCTTGACAAAAGATAGTGCTGTTTTTAAACGTATTGGATTATGTTGCTATGTTTTCTAAACTTTTATTGATATATATATATATATATATATGTATGTATATATATATATATATATATATATATATATATATATATATATATATATATATATATATATATATATATATATATATATATATATATATATATATATATATATATATATATTTATATACATATATAATTTGAATGCTTAAATAATTTTCTCTAAAATGTTATTTTGCTATAATTAGTGTTAATTTTCTTTTAGCCATATGACAACGAGATAAGAGAAAGTCTAAAGGGAAAAATTTTTGATATGTTTTTAAAAAGGTAATGGTTTAAAAAAATATTCTTTTGCAATCGGAATGCTTTTGTAACAATGTTTATATAATGAAAATTTGAGCAATGTTTATGTTTTATTGTTATCAAGTTTATGTTATTAGTTTTATACTGTATATCAAGCATATACAGTAAGTATACTTATGTCAGCAACATTAACACCAAGCATATACAGTCTACTATTTAAAAATCTGATTGGCTAATGACAGTGTTAGTGTTTTTATAATTTAAGTCAGTTTAA